AAAAAAAAGATTCTAGCCCATAAAAATCAGGAAGGAAAAAAAACTAGAAAAAAAATGCAAAATAAATAAGAGATTAATTTTTAAAGAGCAATTCCATATGGGAAGCATTTAAAAAAAAAAGCAGGGGATTTTTTTTTTTTAAAGGCCGGCTAAAGCAGCAGCCGCCCCCCCGGAAAATATATATAAAAAAAGTTGCAAAGTGCAGGCTCTCCGCGAACCTACCTGTATTGTTCGCGTTAACCTCCTAGGCGGATAAGCGAGGCAAAAAGGAAGCGAGCGAGCGAGCGAGGCGCACACACGACGCGCTAAGACTCAGCGCTAGTAGCTGGGGCTGAGCCTCGCGTTGGCTGCCTACGAGAGCGGCCTGATTGGCTGCCGGGCTCCGCCGTTTAAAACAACCTCCTCGCCCGGCCATTGGAGGAAAGGCTGATGAATATTAAGCAGGGCGCGGCGCCGATTGGCCGGGATCCGTCAAGTCATTCATTCAAAAAGAACACCCGCCTGGGCGAACGAAGAGAGAGACACACCGCCGAGTTTAGAAACTGCTGTACTTTGGAGGAAAGAAAGCCGAGCAAGAAGAAGAAGAGGAGGGTGGAAGAAGAAGAAGGAAAAGTTTGTCGAGGAATACGAAGGAAAGTAACGGGAACGTAAAGAGGCGTGTAGGGGGCTTCATTCAAAAAGAACACCCGCCGTGGCGAAGTCCAACGAGTTTAGAAACTACTTTGGAGGGAAGAAACCCGAGCAAGAAGAGGAGGGTGGAAGAAGAAGAAGTTTGTCAAGTAAAGGAACGGGAACGTAAAGATGCGTGTAGGGCGCTGCAGAGCATACACTTGATACGGTTGCGGAATTTCTGCGAAGCCCCTCTAACGTCTGGATACTTGCTCCGATTTGGCTTCTCTACGGCTGGAGCTGAAACCGGGTCTGCTCGGAAAGTCAGGGAGCTTGCGCGTGTACGGGGACTGGTCGGCAACGACCAGATAGGCGGGATACAAATAGAATAAATAAAATAAAATAAAAATAAACTGGCTTTTTTGGGGAAAGCTTGCGATCCTCAAGAGGGGGTTCCCCACGACGTCTGCCGGGCTGGAATCGGAAACTGGCTTTTTTTTGGGAAAGCTTGCGATCCTCAAGAGGGGATCCCCACGACGTCTGCCGGGCTGGAATCGGGGGGCGACTGAGTTCCGAGTCAAAACAGGCGCAGGCTGCGCGCCGGCAATTAAGTTCCGTGCAAACGGTGTGGGCGCGTGTTTGTGGCTTACACGTGGAGGGAATGAGCCCTTTTTTTGACTTCCCAAGCCGAACGCATCGTGACTCCCAAGAAAAGAACACCGGGCGATTATTCAAGGATACGGACTCGACAATCAAAGCAAAAACGAAACACAGCAGTTGTCGTGGGGATTTCCCCCCCCCATTCAATTACGGGGGCGGGGAAATACTAGCTTTAACTTCACAGGGCAAGATTTTAGTTTTCTCCTGGGTCCCAAGACACAAGGAAAATTATAATTTCACTAAATTATGTTATGTTAGCAAAATTTCCAGAAATATATTTCAGCGTTCTTAGGTTTTCTAAGCCAGAGCTGTGTGACTTGATCTTTCCCCGGGGAATTGGCTTACATCCCAGTAAGCCCTTGGTAGGGCCTACTTGGAAGTAAGCCCTACCAAGTCTAATGAAGCTTGCCCTCGAGTAAATTTGCAAAAAACTGCAGTCCTTACAGAGCTTATTTTCATTTAATCAAGGAATTACATGATTCTATCAATTTCATCCTCAATGTAATCACTTTGATTGGGGGGGTGATGGTGAAAAACGTAAGACTGACCCTGCATTTCAGGGTGAGTTTAACTGGGTGGCTGTAGAAATTGCTCGGAGATAATGACCTTAATCCAATGTTTGTTGCAATTCGAGTACACTTATGTCCCTATTTAAAATATTTTTACCCTGCCTTTCTCCTCCTAAAGGACCCAAAGTGGCTCCCATTATTAAAAGACAAAATTTAAAGCTAAGAACTATGAGTATAAAGAGGCAGTTCACATCATTAAAAGACAATGTTAGAGCTAAAACAATATATATATATATATACAAATGTTAAAAAGGAACCAACAAATACTACTCTGAGAAATGATAAACACAAATCCAGTAGTGCTAAAAACACAGTCAATGTAGTAATGGCTAAGCAAGTACAGTAGTGATAAAAACACAGTCAATGTAGTAATGGCTAACAATCCATCTGAAAATCACACTCAGACAGACAGTCACTAAGGAAAAGCTTTCCTGAAGAGAAAGATCTTTGCTTGCAGAAGGACAGCAAAGATGGGGCCAAGCTGTTCTCCAGTGGCAAGGAGTTCCAATGTTTGGAAGCAGCAACAGGGAAGGCCCTCTCCTTCCTCCAGTGGCAGGGGGTTCCAATGTCTGGAAGCAGCAACAGGGAAGGCCCTTTCCTGTGTCCCCGCCAAACACACCTGCGAAGGTGGTGGGGTTGAGAGAAAGGCCTCTCCTGATTATCATAACATCCGAGTCAGCTCGTAATGGGAGACACAATCTTTGGTATCATAACACCTGGGTCAGCTCGTAATGGGAGACACAATCTTTGAAATAGCTTGGACCCCATTGGAATAAATGCAACATACCTAAGTGTTGAGGAATAAATGTTGTCCATTCCACTGGGTTGGACTAACACTGGGTTGAACCCAATGTAAACCAGACATAATATTATGTTTTGAACACTAACTTTTGAACAATGTGTAGAATCTTTTTTCAGAAAGAACAATAATTAATTTTGTACTCAGTTCCGACTTATGGTGACTACCTCCAAGGTTTTCAAAGTACAATATAAAGTGGTTTACAAATCTTTTTATCTGGTAGTGCGCTGAGACCACACAGCTTGCAAGAGTATATTCAAAGCCCTAGATTGCTTGGATATAAGCGATCTCAAATACTGTGTCTCCCATTATAAGCCTGCCCGGGTAATAAGATCATCAAAGGAGGCCTTTTTCTTTGTCCCACCTTCCTCACAGATACGCTTGGTGGGGACACGGAGAGGGCCTTCTCTGTGGCTGCCCCCAGACTTTGGAACTCCTTCCCACAAGAGGCCAGCTGGGCCCCATCTGTGCTGTCCTTCCACAAGCAGGCAACGACCTCTCTCTTCAGGCAGGCTTTTCCTTAGTGACTGACTGTCTAGGAGAGGTTTCAAAAGGAGATGGTTTGCATTTTGTTGCTTCTAAATCTGTTTTGGTAATGCTTTCACCTAGCATTTGAAATATGATGTTATTACATTTTTTACTATTTGAAAAAGTCACTTTTAAATTTAATATTATGTTTTATTGACGTAAACCTGCTTGTCCGTTCTTAGGAGAAAGGCGGAGTAAATATATTTTAAATAAAATAAATTAATAAAATATATATTGTTTACGTACAGGTCTTGTTATACTCTGACCAGAATCCTATTGGTCCTCATGTAAGGTCTGTGTGACCTGCTGCAGCTAATTGTGGCTTATTGAGGAGAGGTAGAATAATAGTCATGGGCCAAACTATTCAGCTGAGACCTGCCCCATCATCTTGTGAATGAGTTGCAGTTAGGTACCACAAATTATGCAGATGTTACATGAATACCAATAGGATTCTAGCCTTTGAGTGTTTTCCTCTCTGTTATCTAAACATTATTTTCAAGATTTTTTATTGTCTTTAAAGGTGACTCATAACAGATAAAATAAGAAATTTAAAAGCACAATATAAACATCACTCTGTAGTGATGTATGGAAGTGAGAGCTGGACCATAAAGAAAGCTGACCGCCGAAGAATTGATGCCTTTGAATTGTGGTGCTGGAGGAGGCTCTTGAGAGTCCCCTGGACTGCAAGGAGAACAAACCTATCCATTCTGAAGGAAATCAATCCTGAGTGTTCACTGGAAGGACAGATCCTGAAGGTGAGGCTCCAATACTTTGGCCATCTCATGAGAAGAGAAGACTCCTTGGAAAAGACTTTGATGTTGGGAAAGTGTGAAGGCAAGAGGAGAAGGGGACGACAGAGGATGAGATGGTTGGATAGGGTCATCGAAGCAACCAGCATGAACTTGACATAACTACGGGAGGCAGTGGAAGATAGGAGGGCCTGGCTTGCTCTGGTCCATGGGGTCACGAAGAGTCGGACATGACTGAACGACTAAACAACGATCTGACACATCACATTTCAAAATTAAAATGCACATTTAAAATTAAAATGCATGAGGAAGGTTAGCTGGATTCGACCAAATGGCGCTCAGCCAGATGCTAAGAGGTCTTCCTGCTGCCTCCTTCTGTGATTTACTGTTCTGGGTCTGATAGCTGCTCTTTAGGTGGCCCACTCGGAAAATAAATGGAATGGTTGGCCTCTTCCACAGCCAGACCTCTTGCCCCTTCCAAAATCTAAAAAGTCAATTTTGGAAGAGTAATAAAGGAACGTATTGCACCGATGTTTCCCATTTCGAATTCTGAAAATACTTGTCCTAATTCTCCAAAGTAGAGCTATGTTGGAAGGGCGGGAGGGGGCATGGCAGTAAAGTCATTCTATGGATCAGGATTTCCCCCAAGAAATGTCTAGTATCTCCCTTTTTTCAAGCCAGGCCTCATGTTTTAACTGACCTGCCTACAACACCTCCCTGGGAGTTCCTGCAATGAAAGCCTTCCCAACTACTTAACAAATCCTTGTTTGCCACTAAAACATTGTGAAGAGAAAAGAAAAGTGAACTGCAGGGTAGACCTTGCCAAGCCCCATGTGCTTAGAAAGCCAGAGGTTAATCCGATTCTAATTTAAATCTATCAGGAGCCTAATGGGAACAGCAATTTAAATATTCTTTCACATTTGGATTGACGCTCATGCTTTCCCTCCACTGTGCTAGTTTTTCGTAGGTTTCTCCCCAAGCACACCTGCATTTTTTCTTCCTAGCCTTGTTTTTATTTCCTTGTGAGAAATTGTTTTATTTTCCTTTTTGCCTGGAAATTCATGCACATTGAGCCATATTTTTTTGCTAATATGAGCATGTGTTTATGTGTTTCTCTTAGATTTTCCCCACTGAATAAAGCATGGGTGTGTATTCCCCCTGGCCGAGCTGTGTACAACTTTCATCTTTGCTTGCACTACTGTATTTGCTTCACTGCCCTAAGACTCACAAATGTGCCAATTTTTCAAACCAACTTTTTTTTCTTGTAAGAAGTCTCAAGAAGTGCAAAAACACAATTTTCTTCAAAACCACTAAAAGCAACAAAATAATTTCACTGCACAAAAAGGATCAAGGACTTTGTTCCACAATGGAGAAAAAAAAAGGTATGTGTTGAACAGAGCAGCCCCCCCGCCAATACTTACACAAATAGACACTTTCATATCTTG